TTTTTTTTTCAATTTTTCTATTTCTTTCTTTGAACTGGGTAATTTTTATTGATCTGTCTTCAGTTTCGCTTCTTCTTTTCACTGCCATTGTCCTTCTATTATTAAGCCCATATAGTTAATTTTCTTTTCAGACATTGTATCTTTCATTTCTAAAATTTCCATCTGGTTCTTTTTTTAATAGTGTCTCTTTCTCGACTGAGAACTTGTATCTTCATTCATTTCAGGTGTGCTTACATTCACCTTGTGAAGCACAGTTACACTAGCTGCTCCAAGACAGCTTGATAATTCCAACATCTGTGTCATTATAAGGTTGGAATCTATTGATTGCCTTTTCCCTTGGAAAATGGCCTCATTTCGTAAGACTTTGCATGTTGAGTAATTGTGAATCATACCTTGGACATACCGAATATCATATTGTGAGACTCTGAATCCTGTAACAATCCACTAGGGCATGACTTGTTTGTCTCATCAGACATCAACCCAGAGATGTTCAGAGCAACCTTCTTTTCTACAGGTGGTGGTTCCAACCTCAGTTCAGTTTTCAAAATCTTTGCTACAGGCCTGTCTTGCACATGGGCCACCCAGGGGTTAGTCCAAGACTGAGCCATCTGTTGTCAGACTCTCAAATTCTCTGCTGTGCTGCTTCGGGCCAGTGCCTGAGAATGAGCAGCCCAGAGGAAAGCAGCTCTGTAATCACAGCCTGCCTCAGCCTAAGCTGCGAGAGACAAGAACAGAGTAGACCCACACGGCTCACTTCTCCAGTTTTTGTTTCCTCTCTACCAGCTGCCTGCTTTTGTTTAGTTTCCATCACACTCAGGTAGTTGCTTTTTGAATTTTGTCCAGATTATTTTGTTGTCATCAGTTGGAGAAAGAGATTAAGAGATTAAAATGGGCTTTCTCTATCTTGGCCAAACTGCGAGCTGATATTGTGTTTTCACGCTGAGAGTAAATGAGAGGCCCGAATGTTTTCTGCTTTTCCCTATCCTACATGGGATATGCATGGGCCTATATGTGTCATCATGGGTTTTTCAAAGTGGAAGTTGTCAGTTCATTTAACAGAAAAGAAGGAAGAAGGTACAAAAGAAGGATATCCGAGTGCCAAGACTGAAAAAACAGAAAGAACTCTGGTTTTCCTCCCCATCTTACCCAAGCTCATGTTTCAGGAACATTCTGCTCTCTTGCTCTCTCAAAAAACACACACTCAGA